AATGTTGTTTGCCGAGTTTACACGTCGTTTTAAACAGATTTCCGCAAGAAAGAGAGAGAGAGAGAGAGAGAGAGAGAGGAGAGAAGAGAAGGAAAGGGAGAGAACATCTCAATACACGTAACACAAGTAAAGAAACTACTTAAGCTTTATCGCAGGCGAACGATCTAGCAATTAAATCGGTTATCCTTCATTAAAGCTAATGTTCTGTTAGCGTACTTACGATCAGACTATGTATTGCGCGCGGATCTTAACTCTCTCGTGCGCGACAGAAACTGCCTCGAGGCTAGTGTCGAAAGCAGATAATATGGATAGGAAACTCAGGCAATAATAATCCTCAATGTTTCGCAAGAGTAGGAACTCTCTCACAATTGTTTTGAACGGGGAACAGTTACTTGGATGCAATAACGAAAGTAATTTTCGCATCGAATTAACTAAACCCTTCCCGATTCTCGAATTGCTTCATTTGAATTAAATATATATTTGCGAATTTATAACGAGAGAGATCCTCAGTTACTCTATTTTCTTCTCAAGCGTAATAGATACATCGCGATATCGTGTAAAGCAATATTATTGGGAAACGAATGATTGTGATTTGTTTTTGTTTGTTTTTCAACAGCGCTCGGAAATTTCAAGTAGGCTTGAAAAAAAAATCTGTTGAAATCTTTTTAAATTCGAACTTTCTAGTTTTTTAATCGTTTTGAAATGTTTTCCATTGGTCGCGCCAATTAAACAGAAGTTCCGAGAGAAAGGTAGGAAGAGCGGTTAGCGCATCAGAGATCCACTTGGACAAAACGATGACGTGTCGTCGAACATTTAGTAGTCGCACATCGAAATCAGGAAACCGGAAATGACAGTGGCTGGGATCCGAGATGGCAGACGGTAACGTATCGAGAGCCGCGCGAAGGAGAGAGAAAGGGGACGACGGGGAGTATCGTCATAAGGGAGACTCGCTGACGGCGGTAAGATTGATTGGAGTCACGGGATGGAAAATTAACGGTCTAGCTCGGGTGGTCCAGGGTTGGGCAAAAGGTGCACGCCGCAGCTAAGGGGATGGCGTCGTGACAGCCTCCGCATACTAATTCCCATACTACCCTTCTTCCTTTCCCTATCTCTCTCCTTTCCATCTGCCGGCACCTACGAACTGTTTTAGATACCCTTTAACCGCGCCCTCCCACTCAGAAGACCGTACCGCTTCAGAAATGTCTTCCGGTAGACACTATTGGCTACTTTATCGTGATCGCCGCGTTGGAAATACGGTTAGGAACGAGCAACTTAATGAAATTATCAACCGCTTAATATAGAATTACTTCCGTCATTTAGTCATAACACAAAAATTCTCTTTGTGTCACAGAAACACCTTTCAAAAATTCAAAAAGACGGAGGAAGAACTTTGGTGAGAAACTTCGAGACAGTTTTCTTTTTTTTATTTTTTTTTTTTTACGTCTTCGTTAAGCGTGAAACGCGCGACACGACGCGAGCGGGAGAAAGCCAAGCGCTCTCTCGCAACCAGTGGCTCGGTAATCCCGCGGGATATCAGTGCAGATCGTCGCAACATCCGCCTTGAGACTTGCCCGGTTTGGCGTTAATGGATTGATGTGTCACAGGACGTGTTAATGCGTCGAATCCTGTGTCGGTAATTATCAAAGAGTAGGATTGACTTAGCGTTTTGAGAACGCGCGCACGCGAGCTAGAGATCGATGACGCGCTCCCGACGGGAGTGTTAATACGAGTCTGTCGCTAATTGGATCAAACGGCCGACCGTCTTTGATCGATAATTCCTGCGGGATTTCGTCACGAGCAATTATAGATGTGCGGGGATGGCGTGCTGACACAAAAGCATCGACGGCCCGACTATTGTTTCGCGGAATTGGGTTGCGCGATCGTAACCCAACGAAGCTGGGGCAATTTCCTGCTTGTCGTGCCGTGCCGAGATTCGATGACGCCTACGGCAAATTATTTCCTACAAATCCGTCGTCGATTTAGTTAATGATCGCGGTCCGACCGCAATAATGGCAAGCATTGACGCGGTCGGTCGCATCAGCCCTGACACGTGCGCATATGACACGACCGATTTAAATAACAATTCGAACTGCGATTCGATTCGAAGCCGATATTTTCAACCGATAAAGGAAAATTCGTGGTTTTATGTGTAAAATAGATTTTGGCAAGATTAAAATTTTTTTTATCAATCTCGTTGATGAGACGCTGACATTTGTACAAGTCAATTTATAAAACAATATAACTTACGCAATCTGTAGTTTGGTTTCGTCAGCAGTAAACAATTTATTTTTCTACGCTGAGATATTCAAACAATTATTCACGTAATGAATAACGTTTACAGTTCACACTAGACAATATTTGAACGTCTCGCGTACTCGTTGTAGTGGTGGAAGGAGAAATTGGATGGCAGGCAGATGGGCGGGTCGAAAAGGGGGAAACGGAGCGTTATTGACGTACCGATGAAAAGGGATGATGCTATTAGACTAATTAAGACGTCTTAAGATTGTAATGAGTTCTCCTCGTTTTCTAGGGTAGTGAAAAACATATAAACTCGCGAAGAAAAATAAATTGAGGGAGTAAAAGCGGAGATTTTTTTAAATATAATATTCTTAGTAGATTTAATTTCTACAGATTTGCGCAAAAATTGTGTTGTTGAAAGAAAATGTGAGAGAAAAGATATATATATATATATATAATATATATATGTGTGTATATATATATATATATATATATATATATAATAATTGAATTTTTCTCCGTAGCGGAACTTTTAGATTCTAATGCGTTAAGGACGCACGCGTCTAACATTAATCGGGCATAATGAAAGAGTTAATTCGTCAGCTAGCGCGTTAACTGGTTCAATCATCAATCAGCCAGTGGAGCTAAATGGTCAGGACAACGGGTTTTAATATCTCCCGGGGAAAATAAAAGTTGGCGCGATAAATCAAAGGTGAAAAGTCGCAGCCTTACTTTCTCTCTCTCTCTCCCTCTCCCTCTCCCTCTCCCTCTCTCTCTCTCTCTCTCTCTCACTCTTGTCCTCTTTTTCTCTTTTTTTTCCTTTTCCATCGTTTCTCTCTTTCTCTCCCTCTCTATCTCTCTATCCCTTTCTCTCTCTTTCTCATTTTCTTCTGTTATCTCGCTTTTTCCTCATTGCGCTCTCAGCTTTAATCGCTCTGCCTTCCATCAGTGACTTGCAAAAGTGATAAATGAATTTTATCCACCGCGCACGTGCCATATTTATATCTATAAAACTGGATAATGTCTTCGTAATAACCATGATGACGAGGAGTGACAATTTCTAACAATCACATTTCTTGACTTGAATATCGAAATATTGATTTTTTTTTATATTTAAATAAATCTACACATAGATTATTGACGCGCAGGACTGCTTGATATATATCGTAATCGTGAAAAGTTCAGCCTCTCTCCATTTGATTTTTCACACTTTTATCACGTCCCATTCTTTTCTCTCTCTCTCTCTCTCTCTCTCTCTCTCTCACGGAGGTGTGTGAGACGAGAGTGGAAATGCAGATGAATATCGTAAAGATAAAGTAGCATGTCGTTGTTGTAATTTTTGCGGCAAACATTGCGCCCGGCGCGAGTAAAACGGGTTGAAAGTCATTTAGGTATTATCTTACAGAAAAGACGGTGGCTACATATTTGCATTACGTTCGCGTGTGTAAACACGTCTGCTGAGGCGCGTACTTTGTCATCCTATCCTATTTACCTTGGGGAGAGAACGCACCTTCACAGTGTGCGATGCACCCTCTGCCACCTTGTCTGATGGTAATCGCTCAGATGCTTGTGACAAATAACAATGACCTCTTTCGCTGCGCGCACATTATTTGTGTTTGTATTGAAGTCTACTGTGCGCATTCCGAGTTTCAATATACAGTGGATACAAACAAATACAAATGCGCGTCCCGTTTCCTTTTGAGGGATAATACCACACACAGAAGTAGGGCCGTTATACAAAAACAACAAATTTCTTTATTTAGTAAAGTAGCGCGAAAATTACTCCAAGAAAGAGAGTGCACAAATTATTTTTTTCATTTCCTTTATAAATATATATTGTGAAAGTTTTTTATAATGCAAAAGTTTTCGTTCCAACTTCCATTTTACACGTACAGCAGCGAATGTTAGCTCCCTAGGTTAATTTTGATTTTAATTTTGTAATTTACGGATTTGGAGATTATTTTATTATTAATTAAATATATATTGTGTGTTTTCTCTTCGAAATTAAATTACACGAAATATTTGTCAATTTGTGCCGCAATTGTTTTTCAACAGCGGCAACTGCTAATTCCGTCTGTTTTTTCTGTTTTTTTTTTCGGCGCGAGTTTTTTTTCATCAATCCCGCATATTCCGCGTTTAGCGAGCGTTATTACTGTTTAAATGCGTTCGCTCAGACGGCCGCAATCAGCTGCGAATCCGGCTGATGACGCGCTCGCTAAAGACAAATGATGAAATTACGAATAATTATTCCGGTATATCCCGGAGAATAAGTTAGACGGAGAGAGAGTGTGCAGAAGGCGGTGGAGCTAGATGTCGGTGTAGTACCGTGGCGTAGTAAAGTATGATGTAGAGTTTGGCCGGCTTGGCCGGCGCCACGGCGGCTAATACGTTCCGGAGAGATGTTAGTAACAGGTGGCGCGATCCATAACAGCGCGCAGCGCGAAATTTCCTCAATCTAGCAGGACAAAAGTATTTTATCTGGTTACCATGTAAATATATCTAGACGCAATTCGATTTTATCAATTTTATAATTATCCACGGCATCGTATATTCTTTGCATTGAGGCAAGTCTTTTCAACTTTGTTCAAAAAAAAGATGATGTGACTTGTGAATAAATCAATTTAGAATAAATTACGTTTCTAACGTAAAAAAAAAAAACGAACGGAAAATGTATTAAAAAAAAAAAGTTTTTACACGAGGAAAGCTTTTAAAATTATTTTATTATCTTGCTAAAGAAGGAATATTCTCTCGTTCTGTTACAGTGTCTCAACCGCCAAGCACCAGCCCAAGCCCCTCAACCACGGAAATGCCCAAGAAAGGTGAGATATCAAATACAGTTCTAGGCACGCTTTATTTGCGACGGTTAAATATAAATTGTGTGACAAGACTTGATAAATCGCCACATATATATTGCTATGTATATATTAGGGTCACGACTCACATGACAAATTTGATATGGTACCCTGGGTATTCTTCATACAATCGATATTACTCACGTCGCACTCTCGGTCACCCGAATCTAATTTTCCGAACGTTGCATTTACTTTTGCAGATTTGGATCTCACCGCGGAGATGAATAACTCTGTTTACGGAAATCCAAGTCTGTTGACAAATCATAACGAGAAAATCAAGACCGGTGAGTATATATATGTACATATATATATATATATATATATCTATTTTTATTAACGTTCGATGTAATTTTGTGCGAGAGAGTTTGTGCGCGAAATTGATTCCGCAATTTCACATATTTCGCTGATCCGCTTCGCGGACTGTCGTGGCAAGGCTGCCACGTAAATACGTTTATGAAGAATAATAAGCACTTGAGACATATATTTGTGAAATGTAGCCTCTTCAATCTTGATCTTTATTTAAAGAACGCATCGATCATTCAGATCTTTCTTCGAAAGAAAACACGCAAAAGAAAGGCAGAAATATATAAGACACCGAATACAATTTAGAAATGACGGAATATCCGACGGAATGATAAGAAGAAAATTTGTGAGAGAGAATGTATTTTTTTAGACGAGAAAGAGAAAGAACTATTATTATTATTATTAAAGTACCGAAATAACTAATAGCGCAAAAAAAAAAAAAAAAACATTTGTTGAACATTAGCGTTGTTATGATCGGAAATCTGGGGAGTGTGGATGTGCTTGAAGATTCGAAAGTTCGAAGCGGTTCTGTTCTCTCTCTCTGTAGCGCCGAGCTACATGGCAAAAGTTTTTATCTCGCGCTAACGAATACTCAAACCCAACACACATAACCAATATCATATAACTAAGATTTTCAGTAACATACTTTGAATCTCTCTAGTGATTAAATTGGATGTTAGTTAGAATCGGAAAATCCGCAATCTCTCTCTAGAATCGATTGCAGCTTTAAGAGAGATTTGAGGATGGGGAAGCGGCTCGCTCTTTAAGTTCTCTAATGGCACAAAAGAGAAAACCACAAAAAAATCATCGTCTATAACGAGATAACAATTGGGTTTTCAAAGCGTTTTTCTATCTCGCACGTGTACGAAGCTTATCGTTAATTGTCGTGAGACAAGAAACGACGCGGGGAACGATAGGTTTTCGCGCGATAAACCGCATCGATGTAACATGTTACCCCGGTAACACGTGGCTGCCGTAATTCCTAATACGAAAAACTGGACCAAAAAAAGAATCAAATCATAGATTTATAAAACCGGAATCCATTAATTTGCAGGAAAAAAAAGATTTCGAGAGAGAGGTACATCGCGTAGATTTACTTAGGAAATCAAAACATGCGGCGAATCTCGAAAAAAGTATTCGGTAGAGCAAGTGAGAAATAAAAAGAACGGAAGAATAAACGCGGGGACGTAACAAAGAGGAGGCAACTGAAGTGATGCTTGTAACAGGAACACATGAGTGGTGGTTACTTGAAAGAGCAGAAAAGATGGATAGAGAGGGAGAAAAGACGGAGGCAAAAAGAGAGAGAGAGAGAGAGAAAGAGAGAGGTAGAGAGGAGAGAGAGAGAGAGAGAACGAGAGAGAGAAAGAACAGGGTTGACTAGGGTGGAAGAGATCCCTGTAACATCAATATTTCATGTATGCTAACACGCCGGAACTAATAATGCTCCAGCAAGGAAGACCCAAGAATAATATCAGCCGCTGTAGTCCACACTCTCCGTCCTTGTCTTTCGTCCTTCCTTTTCTATCCTCTTCATTTCTTTCTTTGTCTCTCACTTTGCTCTATCATCTAAAACAGCAACGTGCAGCAGCGCCCTAGCATCCTTTTGCGCCTTGTGTTAAATTTAATCGAAAATTCGTGTCTCGTTGGGCCACCGTCTCCGTGTCTACCGTGTCTCTACCTTCTCTCTCTCTCCCTCTCACTCCGCCCTCACTCCGCCCTCACCCTTTTCTCTTCTATACGTATATAACCAATGTCATCGCCCGAGGGATGGGACTCGGTGGAAAGGTGAGAGTGAAAAGATGAAGATGGCAGGAGAAAGAGAAAGAGAGAGAGAGAGAGAGAAGAGAAGAGGGAACGGTAAACGCGACGCGGATGTGGTAAGTTTGAATACGGCATATGTCTCCTTGTCTCTCCCTCCTTCTCTGTTTGCGGAGAACGGAGTAAGGAAAGGACGAGAGAGGGAGTGAGAGAAGGAAGGATGAGGTTTGTAATTGGTGCAACATCTGCGGTCTGCAAGGTGGCATTAATGTTTGCTCCCTTCGTGTGTTCTCTTCCTCTCGTCTCTGTTCCCGTTTCCTTTTCGCTCTCCTCCACCCCTATTTTCTCTCCTCCAATCTCTCGCTCTGACTCCGCGAATCCGTTTTTTCTCTTATCGCTCTGTTTCCTTTTCTCTTCTTATTCTTCACGGTTATGTTCAACCGTGTCTGCTTCTATTTCTCTTGTTTTCTCAAGTACTTTATTTTTATGTCATCTTCTTTATCTAAGATATCCGTTTGACTTATTCTCTTTTAGTCTAGCGATATAAATACATATCTCTTTCCATACTTACATTTCTTGTTACTATTTTTCTCTCTCTCTCTCTTTCTCTCTCTTTCTATTTCTCCTTCTCCTTCTCTTCGACTTTACCTCTCATTTCGCAGTGGGTACATTCCTTTTTTTTTCTCTCGGATAATTTATTCCAGTTCTTTGTCTCATTGCTTCGCCGCTTTCGTTTAATGCATTCTTTAAATAATCCAGTAGCCTGTCCCACGCACCCATAGCTTCTTATTATTTCTATTATTAAAAATTCAAAAGCGCGAATGTACATTTAAGATTAAACAGATGATTCGCTCCGGGTTTTCCTTTGCGTGAAGCAAAGCGCCAAAACAGACATTAGTTGCTCGACATGTACATATACTCGCAACAACAATCTGTCGTGTTAATTCTCTGTGTAAGAGATGTATGTAATAACGTAAAGAGATTAGATACATGTGATAATTGTATACAAATACGGTGTATAGTTGTTACACACACGCGGCGGGGCTACAATGCGGAAAGTTTATTTGTTGATAAAGAGAAGATAAATACAAAAATTGCATTTGTCAGACAAAAAGGAATTTTGTTGCGAGCTACGAACATATATGTATATTGAAGATTGAGGAAAGAAGTTTAAAACACAAGTTTTACTAAAAACTAAATTGCGTTTTCAGATATTTAATACACGTATTAGATATTTTAATTACGACGTTGCAAATTTGAAGACAATCCGCTTGCAATTACCTTTGCAACGGTTTGTTCGTTATCAATTGTTGCCTTTTACCTGCGCACAGTTTGCACGACACAAATTACGACTGCATACGGCCTACGACGATAAGTCACTTTGAGGTTCCCGAAACAGAGCAAGTATTGTCGCGATATCGTGACATCTCCCGGAGCACACGTATGCCCTTAGATGTCGCTTAATTCCCTGGGGCAGCGTTGTCCGCCTGTAATTCTGGGGGAGCATGTATAGCGATTGGTTTAGCCCGGCGCGCGTGCTTTCGTACGATTAACACGTCCCTCTATTCTATTGTACGCGCTCACAACGCATACACATACATATCTATATACGGCGCCGCGCGCGCGGAGGAAAGGAACAAAGGCGAATAAAAACGCGGTTTTGTCGTGCTATTCACTATTCTATATATGCGCGCGTGTTTACGTATTTTGCTCGGTACGTGCGTTTTGTTTGTTGTTTTTCCTTTTTTCTTTTTTTTTTTTGCTGTATAAAACTAATATAATAAAAAGTAATTTTTGAAATTTTCAATGGAAATAAATTAATTCACATAAAAATTTCTTGACGTTTAAATCTGTCTGTGGATGTGTTTTTTTGAAATTAAAAATTTTTTTAAATTAAAAATTAAAAAGATTGCTTAGATTATACAAAATATCAAAAGTTCTCAAGTGCAATAAAGGACGTTTCTTTAGGATGTTTCTCCAAGCGATATTCGAAATTTATTTATGACGTAAATCACATCATTATTGCGTGCGACATTAATTAAAAGTATCGTGGAACGTTGACGACGCAATATTGCATGCGCGCCGCGTGCGGTCGTACGTATAAAATTGATATCTCAGCGTGTGATCTTGCGACTTGAAGAGAGACGCAAAGAGTTTTTCAGTGTATGCAGCGTTCGATTTTTCTTTCATTCCGCGAAACGATATATTTCCTGTTTCTCGGAAATCTCTTCTTAAGTTTTGCAATATCACCTACTGGAATTCCACACTCTATTACAAGGATAACAAAGCTTACGCTCCCGCGAGCTTACACGCGCGCTCGAGCAGCAATACGTCTAGTTTCCCTAAACACGTCGTCGCCCACGCATAGCTGCAGAAACAGCCGTGGTGTGCATCGCGATAGAGAATCTTGCATATAGGAGAAACTATACTAGCCTGGCGGGCGAGAGCGATACATATAGTGGGCAGCGCATGATACACACTGTCACTGCTAATGTTTGGTCGAGATTTGCATACGTCTGTCTAGCCTATCCATTGCCCGCCGTACAACGGTGTCTCACCTCGTTGTCCGAGGTTGTATCCGGCGAGGGGTGGCGACCTTACTCTGTACCATCAGCCTAGGTATTATACACACGAGCGTACATGCGACCTATGATGCGCGCAAGCGTCGTGATCGCCCATTACCTATCCCGAAATAGGCTATCGTGCCAAGATCGTGTTTCCTCCTCTACCTCCCCGATACTGCTACTTGCCATCCTCGCCGCATCGCCTTTTGGTCCCGGTGCCGACTGCCTCGGGGCCGTGAACTTACAAATCTAATCAGGAGGGAACGAAGACACAAAGCGGGTATTCGCAAGCTCCTTGTTCCGCAGGTATTCTAAAATTAAGCCGTAAGTGCAGGTTTGCAGTTCTCTCCCGCTGCTTGTTGTGCGTGCATGTGTGTGTGTGTGTGTGCGTGTGTGTGTGTGTCGACGTGTCTCTGGGAACGACTTTAGTCAACTTGACGCGTTGTTTGCGCGCTCTCTTTACGCTCGTACACGCATGTAATCTCGAAAAGGTCGCGAAGATTTCTCATTGATTTCAATCGTCTTGTGGAAAATAAATACGTACGATAATAATAGAAATTTAAAGTAAGAATATAAATTTCAGAAATTTTAACATAAAAAATAAGACACGCGTATGAGAAGAGAAATGCAAAATCACAGAATTGACCAATCTTATCGGAAGCGAAAGAAACGAATTAGTTAATCTTCAGGTTAAACTTTGTGTTTTTGTTGCACAGATGGGAAACTACATGTGTACTTGAACAAGGGGTTTATTCACTCACGTTACTTCCAGAGCGCGTGTAATGTACCGCATACACTCGGGGGTAACAGGATAAACCTAAAACACATACATACACGTAAGACGTCTGGTTGTGTAATTTTATCAAAATATACTCATCACGAACTGTTCCGTTACAAGAATGTAATCTAAACCGGCGCGCGGCAAAGAGACTTGCGACAAGCGTGTGTCGTGACATGGATAGAATCTACTTGGCGCGGATAAGGGAATTGTGTTTACTCGGAGTTTGCGTACTAGTTAACGCGTTTGTCACCCACTTTATGCGTAACAGGCTCGTAAACATCTTCAGTCGAGAGGACCACTCGTTGTACATCCCTTTGTCCGTGGTTCCGTCTATGCGAACCACGCGGAGTCTCCTTTCTGCTTATTCTCTCTCTCTCTCGCTGTCTCTCTCTCTCTCTCGCTCTCTTTCTCTCACATAGATCTCGTCTCCTCATTATCGGGCGCTACGCTTTGTGCCACACCGTTTGTCTCTCCCCTCTCTCTCGCCTTCAAGTAAAATTCAATTTTTAATTCATTTCCATAACATCCGGAATACATTCCGGAATAATATCCGGAACAAGACGAAAAACCAAACCCTTTGTTAATCACCGTGTCAACTTGTCAGCGAGAAATGAGCGTCTGTTTTCCGAGAGTATATATATATATATATATATATATATATATATATATATATATATTCTCTTGTATGTATTTTATTTACTGTTATATATTATATAATGTATACATGTTTTTTTTTTATTTCTCTTTTCAAGGTAACAAGTTCCAGTCGAATCTCAATGAGATTGGTAAATCGGAGCAGAAGCTGTCCGAAATCGACAGGAAGAGAAATTACAATTGGCCTCCTAATAACGGTGAGTTTTCAACAACATCCCATCTTTAATTCTTTTTTAACAAATCTATTTCACAAAAACTAAACAAACTCGTTATTTTTGTCGTCTTCTGTTTCGGTTATTATTATTACGACACATCGTGTGTTGTCCCGGCCAATTAAACAGAGTTACGCGGTGTTGATATCGTACCACGTCGCACATTAGGTCGACGACATGTTACCCTCGTTATTTCATTGAAATCCAGTTTTGAATAGAAGCTGACGAGCTCACCGTCCAACGGATACGAGACACGGCAAAGTTTTTCTGCGAAAAGAGATGCGGTTTATCCAGCGTTTCGCGGTTCGAAACGGCATTCCGCCGTGGCATTTAAACGGCCGCGTTTACCGCATTTCTGAGCGCGCCGGTCAGACACTAGCAGTGTAGCACCTTTCATAATTTCGCTGAGCCTTCGGCATTATCGGATAATTCTTTTCTACGCGTTGGCATTTTTTCCTCCTCCCATGATCCATCTTCACCCCGTTCTTCCGTAATTCAATCTCTCTTTCTCTCTCTTTCTTTCTCTCTTGCTATCTCGCTCTCTTGCCCTCTTTCTGCACCGCACCGTCTCTCAATATCTCGCTCGACCGCGGTTACTTTTAAAAGGAATTTGCATAATGGCGTAGTGTGAAAATCCGTTTTCTCCGCGGGGACGATCGCGATAGTCTCGGAGAAGTGGGTAATTTTGCATAGAAAAAGGCGGGTCGGACTGTAACGAGTAAAACTACACTGCAAGTTTCCACATGTAAGTGTCATTGCGCCCGAAAAGAAATATATTGTATGCTCCGCGCGCGGCATAGCGCGAAATTTTTGTCAAGTTTTACTTTAAAAGGATCAACGTTTTCTTCTTTGTTCTTATCGACAAAGATAGTTCACGAAAAAAAATCAATTGTAAATCCTCCGAAATTAGTCAGTTTTTTCTATATGCCGGTGTAATGAGATATAAATATTGATCTTGTAAACATACATATAGCGCATTCTACAGAGAAAGAAAAAAGATGAGAGAGGGGGGCGGGGGAGAAGAGGAACAAGAGAGTAGGGCGAGAAATCGCGAATTGAAGGAAGGTAAGAATCGTACAAAAGTAGCGAAGCAAAGAATTCTCCTGGGACAGCAGCAGGGACCGTATAAAAGAAAAGAGAGTCGAGAGGCAAGTTACTGCGAGTCTTTCTTGGATGAGAGTCGACAAGACGAAGAAAGGACAGAAGGAAACAGGCTGCGGGAGAAGAAAGGGGGAGGGTGATCCGGAGGCGGCGGCCCACCGGATTGTTTCTGATTCGTAATTAGAGATGAGTGAGGCCGGGAAAAGGCCGGAGAATACATTTCTCTCCAAGCGAATAATAGCTAACGGTATCGTGCAACCCAACCGGAAGAATAACTGACTTCCCATTTTTCCGAGCTTTTTTCCCCTCTCCCGCTTCGTCTCTCTCTCTCTCTCTCTTTCTCTCTCTCTCTCTCTCTCTCTCTTTCTCTCTCTCTCTCTCTCTCTCTCTTCCGTTCTGTATCTACTTCACTTGGTCTGACGGCCATCGGCACCTACTCTCTTTTTACCTCTCCCCGCGTCTTCGTCGTCTCATCCTTCTCCCTCCCTCGTTCAAGGGGAGGAATTCTTTCGCGGCTACCTTCCTGCAACGAGGTAACGACAGAATCTAGAGCCGAGAACTCCTTGATTGTGCATTGATCTCCCCGGACTACCAATAGTAAGAGAGAACCCCCCTCCTGTCCCTTCCTCTTTTTTTCATTCGCGTGTTATCGCAAAGCAACGAATTCCCGCTAGATTTTTTGTTTTTTCAGATATTAGAACCTCTTAAAGCGCGTTTTGTCTTAAATAATCTCGTCTAATTTCAGATTCAGCAACGAGTGCGATGACGATCATGACGCTGCTGCTACTCACTCTGGCCATAACGATAATCCGATAAGCGAGATCCTCAAGTTCTCACGTCGGTGACACAACCGTCAGTGTTATTTTCCTTGATTAACTGACTCAATTAATAAAAAAAAATAAAAAAAATAAAAAAAATAAAAAAATAGAATAAAAAACTAACACAGACATACACACACTCGCTCACACACGCATGTTAACACACGTACACAAGTGACACAAAAAGACTAACCCAAAGTATAGTTAGTGTCGTATTAAAAATGACAAGATGAATAATTTTACGCGTGCCAAGTTAGTATAGCGACAGAGTCCACGAGTGGCCAAGAATTCAAATGGTCTCTTCGCCGGAAAAAAAAATTGTGTGCGGTGAGAGATTTGGACGAAGGAATAAAACGGAAGGAGGAACAATGAGAACGGAAGATGGAATATTAACAAAAGTGCAACGACTATCGCTTTCAGTGTAATATATTGTATAACGCCGTAAACAATGACGTCGACAGAGAAATACCAGTGTTCTCGTCTCCGTGAGTGCAATTTTGAACGTGAAAGAGAGAGAGAGAGAGAGAGAAAGAGAGAATGAACATTGTAAAAGAATTTTAGTCGCGCGAACTGGTATTTTATTCCGAAATATCAAAACGTAACCGTTCGAGCTTATAATACTGAATTAAAATTTCACCGAGCTAAACTAATTTCTCACCGTTTTTTATGTCTCTTCGAACAACGTTTGTTTTCTCTCCACACACACACACACACACACACATACACACACATTCACCTACACACAAGACCTCTTTATTTTGACGTAGAAGAACTATTATGTTTTTGAAAGTGTGTAATTGTGTGATCTCTGTCTCGGATAAAAATTTCATAAAAATTAGTGGCACTTGTAAAAACAAATTCCCCTTGCCGATATTTGAATTTTTCATTGGTCTCGCGCATGATCAATTCAAACTGCATCGTTACAGCACGGTTTTTCTATGTATTAAATACGTATAAGAGAGTGTGTGCTCGCAAACCCCAAAAATCATGACGTTGCGGAAATTATCCCTTCACCATCAAAACTCCGCGTTTTTTTTTTCATCTTTTTATATGCATTATACTTCCTGTGACAATCCTCCTTTCCACTATGTAGTGTTCGAAAGCTTTTAACGATCGAACGGTTCGAATCTCAAGATTAAATGTTCGGATCGTCTAAATTCAAAAGAACATGTGTGCGATATTTTATTTATTCCTCCGCTACCGACAACAACTCTTTTTTTCTTTCTTTACGTATTCAAAATCGAATATGAATGTTAAGTACGTTCGAATTGGAAATTCAAATGTTTCGATCTCAAAAAGTGTTTCATGAGTTTGAACAGTTCGATCATATATACGACGCGTTTGAATCTCTTTTCCCTTCTTGTTTGAAGCATATTTTCTATACACTGCCAAGTACGTTCTAAATTTGCCTCAATTTTTCCTCCCTTTCGTTTTCTATATATACCCACGCTCTCTCTTACGTAGAAAATCATGGATCCCATCTGGATACTTGAGATTAAAACGTCAGATTCGGTACGGAGAAATTGTTCTCTTCTCAAGAGGCGGCTTCGAAAGAAGCGCGGTAAAAAAAAAAAAAAAAAAAAGGGAAACTGGAAACTTCGCGGCAGACACGAAACGAAGATACATCGTAACGAGCGCAAGTCGAATGCTGTTAGGTGGAAGCGTTTTCGAGTCAATTCGAGACACGGTATCATCCTTCGGTATATATTCTAAAAGCGCCAGTTCTTCTTTCTTTCAGGTCGATACAAGCGAGAGAGAGACAAGATCTCTATTATTCGTACATGTTTATCAATAAATTGGAAATTTAAAAATTTAAGAAATTTTCCAGCGCCGCGCGCGACAAGAAACTAATTAATTGATTTTCATATTTAATTCAGAGTTCTCTCTTGTACAAGATAAAATAAACTCTCTTGAGTTTTTTTTATTTTTACTTCAAAGTTTTCTTCGCGATTTAACGATCGTGATTTTGACGCAATTTGATGAAGAAACAAAATTAATTGTCGAATAAAAATCAGAGATCGGATGACGAAAGACGTTCGGGTCCGTTGTGTCGCGGTATCACATTTTGTTTACGCGTTAATCGATCAAATCGATGATTTATTCTCACGCCGAAAAGCTATGTGCCATGTCGGTTTTAAGCGAACTTCGAACTACTTAGGAATATCCATTATTCAGCGTACATCTTGTTTAAAGCAACAGGTTCGAGAGAGTCCCTGCACTCTGCGCGCAAAGGAGTTAATGCCCGCTATGGATTAAAGAAGGGAACGGCTCGACTTAGGGATTACGCAGACTTACTCTGATGAGGTCTGTAATCGTATCATTCGCGAGACTACCTCGTAGTCTTCTGACTTTAAAAGTCATAAGCATTCAGCATAGGAGGGGAGGGGGAGGGGAAAGAGAATATATACCGCGCGCGCGCTTTTGGACCACGCGATACAACATCGCGATTGTCGCATCGAGTGCAATCTGTAAATCTGTTCTGCAATCACACACAGGCTTTTTTCTACTTGCGAGCGCAACGATATATCGAAACACGCATCGCGTAGTGTGTGTTGATATTCTGTAGCGCGGGAACACGTGGATGTCATTTATTTCTGTGTGCGGTAATTGGCATTTCGCTGCAACATGGAAGAAAGAACTCACGATTGTCAAACAAATATTATAGTCGAGTACTTTTCACATGTTTATAGGGAGAAACCATAAAAAAAGCGGGACAACTCTTTTTTATATCTCTATAAGCACCCCATAGGCACGGCCGATTAGATAGTTTTAAAAATTTTGGCGTACATGTATATATGTAGAGAAAGAGAGAGAAAGAGAGAGAGAAAGAAAGAGAGAGAGAGAGAAAGAGAGAGAGAGAGAGAGTTATACTAGATTTAATAATGTTTTTACGTAACGTGTTTTATAATCTTAAAACGCGTTAAGATTCGAGAGAGTCCTTTTAACATTTCAACTAGTTTCGTCCACAAGAAGATACAAAAAAGAATAATAATAGGTCTCTCTTTTCGGTTGTGCCTAAAAGTCACACGAGAAAGAAATATCTGTCGAGAAACTGCCCTTGTTAATGCAAAGTAGAGTTTTGCATCGCACATGTGTATGTGTGTGTAATATTTCGCGCGTATGTGTATGTGATTGCATGTAAGTAAGGCAAATGCTCGTGTGTATACACACGCGTGGCACCATTTTCCTCTAGCTGCTGCGATATCACACAATATTTGTTATCCGAATTTTATTAATCTAAAAAAATAAAATCGCGTTCTCTCGCGCAAACACCATCCACGCGTTTGTCGCGAATCACAGCGTGAAAATCGAGGATTTATATAGGTCAAAAAAAAAAAATCATACACGCATCAATTTTTTTAAATAAACGAAGTATATGAATTTCTAACAGTTAAAGGAAAATGCGACGCGGAATTATTTGACTTATCGGTCTAAGAACGCTGTAACTGCGGTGACTCGTTATTGTCGGCTGACTGTAAATACGAGTATACAAGTGATAAAAAAAAAAAAAAAAAAATTATACGTAGAGAGTAAGCTTCATTGCCTGCAAAAAAAAAAAAAAAAAAGATATGCGGCGTGCACGAACATCATTAGTCCGTTTTTTCGTTTCGCGAGTTTCGCCGTTTGGTTCTTTCGTGTAAACGCCGTCGTTTCCCACGTGAGAAAACACGCAGAAGGGTAAATCTTAGCGAGAGATATTTTGACTGTAGCCTACAGAGATTAAATATGCGAATCGAAAACGTGAAAAAGTTCGCCGTCTTAGCGTTATAAGTGCGTATGAGGAGACGTATTATAAAAACGCGAAGGTATATATGTATACATAACACACACGAAAATTATAAATATATGAAAAAATACAAAATATATATATATATATACGAATTTACTATATTGGGGGACTATATTGAATATATATATATATATATGTTATATATATATTATTATATAATATATATTATGTGCTTTGCGTCGTTGAGTTGAATGTTGTTATTTACAAGAAAACAAAGAAAAAGAAAATGAGGGATTCTTATGAACATGCTCGACATATGTAATAAAACAAGAAATACGTAAAAAAAAAAAAAAAAAAACTTTGCGGTGTTTCTTTTCTCTCTCTCTTATGTCCCTGTTTCCTTCATTTTTTTATCTTCTTGTGATAAATAAACTGTGTGTCTTCCTCTTCATAAACACACACAATTTAACAAAGTAAATATTGTATGGTAAATAAGCGCGTAAATAATTTCGATTTCGAAATTTTTCCTCAAAACTTTTGAAAATCTACTAATTCAAAATAATAAACTCGAAGATAATTCTCACGCGTGTAGATATCTGAGTTATGCTTAAAATATGCGTGCAGTTTTTACCACGTCGGCGCGTTATAAATGTTTCTTTGACTGTAATATATATACGGCACTAATATGTGTGAATAATTATCAAGTCGTTAATTAATCTTTTATTTATTTATTAAAATCAAACATCTACGCACCAAGATACGAGAAAGCAATCACAAAGAAACTCCAAATGTTTCATCTATCAACACAATTCTTTCTCTTTCAAAGGTAAGTGAGATATATATACGTATACATGTGTGTGTTATCGTACGAGATGCTGAGAGAAAAAGCGCTGAGTCCTCGCGGAACATTCAGACCGCGGGTGGAATCGCGCAAATCCGCCAACCAAGACGTTATCTATCATCGACGGATTAAATCGGGCCGACTGTGTGTTTATGCGGGGGCGGACGGCATGAAAGTTCAACAATTGGATACGTCGGCGTCGGTTATGGGCAAAGATAGCGCGAAGCAGCGAACGGAATATGTCAACCTTTGCACAATATTTCGCCAGTTTATTGTCACTAACGTTGTAACAAGCCGTGATTCGGCATACTAACCGGAGGATTAATTCCCGACCTCAAGAACGGCTTGCGAACTGTTACGTATATAACACGACGTTTTCCGCTGACAAGTTGCTATCAGTTTATAAGCTTGTATAAGCTCAAAGCGGTCGCTAATTAAAAACTACGCTATATCCCGTCCGAGAATTATAGTACGAGATCACGTCTAGCGATGTTTAATTCGACAGATTGAGCGCTTCGTTTTGTTCAAATTTAACAACTATACGTGTGTTAGATACTTTGTTTTTTTTTTTTTTATGATCATGATGAAAAATGTTGCAATTGCACGTAAATAAGATATGCACAAAAGTAAAATGTGTTCTAGAAAAATTTTCGATCTTCAAAAATTTATAGAGCTAAACGTTTTAATTTAGATCTTGCACATCCAATTTGTTGGAATATATATATATATACCAGCGTATCTATTTGATATTTCTCGATACCGCTTTAAAAAAAAAAACGGATAATTATCGCGTCGCTTATTAGGGAGCAAAATTAATTGTGAAAAATCACGAGAGATATTATTCGAAACCACACCGAACAAAAGAAAGCAAAAGAAATCGAAGAGAAAAAAGATTCATGAAAGCTTGATGAGCCGAGTCGCCCGGGCAAGTAGGTATTGCAACAGATTATGAATTAAATTCACTCTCTAACTCGCTCTCCGTGTTGGTCTCTTTTACGGCACTAATAATACGGACCTAGGCGATGAGCGACCCGCCTCCACCAAGGCATTTTTGTCGACCATTCATCCGAGCTTCTCTTTTCTTCAATGACCTCCTTTCTTTCGTTCAACCACATTCAAGGTGGTTTTTTTCCCCCGAGAGAAAATCACCGAAAAAAATATACTCGTTCTCTCGTGTCACGAGAAGTGGATAACTTTTCCGCACCAGTCTCTCGTGTCGCTCATTCGGTATCTTATATAATTGATGTTTCCCGCGATAGAACGATTGATATAACGAGAGTTCGTAATTATTTCGAGATTACATTTGACAGACGAACAAGAAAATCTCCTTACCCGCGGAAGATGACCGAAAGTTCCGCACGTTCTTCTTTTATGTGTGATATCAAGAAGAAGTTAAGCATGTTTCATTCAATTCTCTGGCCCACATTGTGATGTTCCGATAAGTAAGAGCGAACAAGTAGTTTCTCTGAAAGAGCGTAAATGTACAGCACACGTTAGAAATAAAAAAAAAAAGAAAAAAAAGAGAGAGAACCGAAACTTAACTGGTACTTTCTTAATAAATTTTCAAATCAAAAAGTTCTCTAAAATTGTTATTTTTAATAAGTACAGCAAGTAAGATCGAAAAAGTTAATAAAACTTACTTCACCATCCTGTCGAAAAAAAAAACTTAACTTTGTATAGCAAGAGAAAAAAGTTTTGATTTTCTTGGAAAATTGAAATTTAACGAGTTAATCTGTGTACCTCCATATATACACACTGACGACGTATGTATACGCATTCCGTGAATCACAGCGCGAATGCGCGGTTCTCTTTCACGGGAGAGCATTTCAATGCGGGAGCGACGATGAGAGCAAATGCGAGGGAATTCCATATTGGTATATAAGCCGAAATATGACACAAGGCGAACCAAACGAAGAGAGCGCCGGTTCTCTGCGGCGGCACGTATCATGCATATTCGGCACGGGAGCTTCCGTTGGGATGGATTCTTAGTGCGAGCCGCGTGGAAGTCCGGGAATCCGCAATCCGTTTACGAATTTCGAACGGCAAGGTAATGGCTCGTGCGTAGTCGCGCGGTTAGAAATTACAATTCGAATTCCAGTGCTGTAGCTGACGACGATGGTGTGTGTGTGTGTGTGTGTTTGTATGTGTGTGTATTTGTATGTGTATGTTTGTGTGTGTACGTTGGGAGAGAGAGAGAGAGAAAGCGAGAGAGAATGAAAGAGAGGGAAGTGGCGAGAAACCGAAG